GATCCAGGGACTCCAGGATCATGACCTGAGCCGAAGGCAGTCGCTTAACCAACTGAGCCACCCAGGCGCCCTAAGTTGAAGATCTTAACAATGATTCCTTTAACACTGTCCAAGCCTATAAAACTTTGGAAAGATTTGTGTGCCACTGTTTGAGGACCACGGATTCAAGTCATGTAACTAATTCCTCTGGCTGATTTTCTTGCTCAGTAAGGAGCCCTTTGATTTTAATGTCATTTGAATGTCTCTAGGCCTATGTGTAATATAAAGGTCACATTAACAGTAACTACTCAAATTGCACTTCACTTCATCCCCACCTGCTGACAAACCTCTCATCCTTTGCAAAATCTACCTACCTCACCTGCCATCCAAGCGCCCAAGCAATGGCTCTGAAGTGTTCAGATAAACCCACATGGCCAGTTTTCATCTCTTGCTGGGCATAGGCACTAGGGCATTACAGCTGTGCTTTCACACTTTCACATACTAAAATGTACTGGAAATGAATCAAACGTAAGTCAAATTTTGGAAGCCAAAAAATGTATTGTTATTTTGCCAAGTAACAATCTTTTAAAAGACCATACGTTATCACCATTGTTTAACTTGTACAAGAACATTTCAAATACCTTAGAATGACTTCTATTATGACATGTTGGAGGTATGCAAAAGAATATATGCAATATATATGTAAGTTACTAGGTAAACATTAAAATAAATACCTGGGAACCCATTACCCAGCTTAAGAACTAAAACATTACCAGTAGCTTTGTGTTTGTATGCTCTGTCTCCCTCCCATCCCCCTGCCTTTCTCCCGGAGATAGTCACTATTCTGAGTTTTGTTCTTAGTACTCTCTTCCTTTTAAAATATAAGCTTTTTATTACATGTGTTCCTAAACAAAATGTTGTTTAGATATCTTATTCTGCTTTGTAAAAAGTACATAGTCTATGTACTCCTCTGCAACTGATTCCTTCATTCAATATTTCCAAGATTCAGCCATGATGTTACATATATCTATGGTTTACTCATTTTTACTGACATATGTCATTGGGTACACCACCACAATTTTTTTTATCCATTGTCTTGAAATGAACGATTGGATTGTTTTATATTTTTGCTATTACAAACGTGTTGCTGGCACACATTTGTAAGAAGTTCCATAAGGATATATGTACCTCAGAGTGGAATGGCTTGGTATATACATTTTTAACTTTACAAGATAGTTTTGAATTTTTTCCAAAGAAATTGCACAAATTTACATCTCCTCTATCAGTGTATAATATCCTTTTGACCTGTAAATTCCCCAGTCCTTAGTATTATCAAACTTCTTAATATTTACCAATCTAGTAACTATAAAATATTACCTTGTTCGGGTCTTAACCTGTAAATTACAAATTTGCAAATTTACAGATTAAAACTGATAATAAAGTTGAGCAACTTTTCACATTTTATTTGCCACTTGGGTTTAATCTACAATATCCCTACCATAACATTTGACTATTTTCCAGTTGGATATTTATTGATTTGTATTTCTTTATAATATAATCGAGGTATTAATTATTTTTCAGTGGTAGGTGGTGTATCTTGAATATACTCAACCCTATTCATATAAACTTTTCTCATTCAGATCTCAGTGTTCTGTGGGTCCTGTACATCGGCCCATCATAGGTGCTGATGCTTCCTTCCTACAGTAGCAGTGTCTCATGTTTTTGTGGATAACCAGTTTACAAAGCACTCTCACAAATCTTATCTCATTTGAGTCTCCCAACAACTTTTTAAAAAACTAGCTAGGTATTATTATACTTGTTTTATAGATAAGGACACTGAGTGGCTTGCCCAAGGTCATAGAGCTAATAAGTCCTCAGATTCTGTATTCCGTATCCTCCTTATGATTATATGATGCTTCTGTGTTTGTAGATTATGGCCTATTCATTTAAGCAAATGCTGTACCTCTCCTTAGCATCTTTACTTGTTTCTTCCTTTTTTTCTTTTTTTTGTATATAATTCAAAATACGGCTCTAGTCTATGAAGTTCATTTTAAATGCATTGCCTATGAGATAACAGATGAATAGAGGAATCATCGAGAGAATTTTTGAATAGGAGTTTTTTAAGAGAGTCTAGGAGGATATTAGAAACCACAACAGTTATCTGTTCTGGGGCAGATCACATTTTAAACATAATAGGTCTATTATGTAAGAGAGCTGATTTCCAGTTCAGTATTTTCTTTTCTTTTGACCTTTTAGAGATTTAAAAAGGGGAATGCAGGGATTAAGAGAAGAAAAATTTGCTTTAACATTTATTAGTATTATCTAAATTGGCTGTCCTATGTCAAATACTGATTTTATATTTATTAATTATTAAATATTATCTATTTGTTATATTAGAGATAACAAATACTTATAATTAGTCTTGCATGTTGAACTTATCATGGGAAGTAATATTGGTAGAACAGTAATCCCATCATTCACAATTCATCTGAAGCTTTTATACCTGGGCAATTGGGTAGGCATCCATCGACTGTGGGAGCCCAAGGAGGGTGGGATGTTAGCTCTCAAATGAGAGATGACCAAATGCTATTTTTCAAACAGTTGAAATGGTAAAATGTCATACTTTTTACTTTCTGGGAGTTGTTAAAGTCATTCATTCATTCATCCATCCATTCATTCATTCTCAAGCTAACCAAACTACTCATGTGAAATCTTTAAGCTTTTGGTAGTTTCCATCTCTTTTGATGTACATCACATACACCAGAGAAACCTATGTTTGATGAAACTACCAGAGGGACCTGGGGATAAATAAGGAAACAGCATTCCTGCTCTGAGGTATTTTAATCACCAGGTAATAGTTATATCTTAAACACTTCCTGGACACATCCCTTGATGAATAATAAAGAGATAGGACTACATTATATCTTCTCCAAAGAGAAAGGTCTTTAATAGCAACTGTCAATTCCACAGCTAATTACTAAATATGGCTTCTCCTCGAGTATCATAAATAAATGCATCTCCAGTTAGTATTTACTCATCAAATATTCCTACATCCATGTCCAATTTAAAATTGGTTGGCTTGCCTCTCTTTCCATAAAGTGATGGCTTCTATAAGTATTTTGGTTTGAGTCTGAGAGCTGTGTGTGTTATATGAGAAATAATATATGTCTGATGATGAGCTCCCTGTGTGTATTTCCTTTATGAGTCAGGTACTCTACTAGGCTCATGCAGCTCATTTTGAATAGGGGATAATTATACCACAAAGTGGTAAGCAGAAGAGAGGGGTGTGCATTGGGGGAAGGGTACCTAATGACTTTGGAATTCAGATCTGTGTTTGAAGAGAATGAGGTGAACTCATCGTGTTGGTAATTTTGAGCTATACACATTTTATAGTTGTGTGTAAGGATATGGGTCATTGTTAATGACCCATACATTCCTAATGTAAGGGGAGGGTCATTCCTAGCTGGGAAGCTTCTAGTATCATCTTTTCCAGAGGGCCTCAAATAACCTATTTGAAAGGACAGGCACTCTTCATTTTTTCAGAAGTAAATCTTCAAACCAACTGCTTAAAAAGAGCCTTGTGGATAATGTGGATAATTTATGGAAGGAAAAGTGCCCAAGGCCTTCTATGAGGTGATGGTGGGAGGGTTATTTGGTTAATTTTGCACTTAGGAGAAAAAAATGTCAAAAGTCAAAGAGGAGTCCTGTTGCCTTTTCAAGGGTAAGTCAGGATAGGCCAGGACAATGGATTATAAGGATCTTACAAGGGCCTGAAATGTTTAGCACTTCAATTTTTATTTTTAAAGATTTCATACTTTCCCATTATGATTAATAATAAAACTCTTTAAAGAGTCTTTGTATTGGGGTGGGGGGTGCCTGGGTGGCCCAGGCCATTAAGCGTCTGCTTCCTGCTCAGGTATGGTCCAGAGTCCACAGATCAAGCCCCACAAAGGGCTCCCTGCTCAGTGGGGAGTCTACTTCTCTCTCTCCCTCTGCTCCTGCCCCCTGTTCGGGCTCTCTCTCTCGCTCTCTCTCTCAAATAAATACATAAAATCTTTTTTTGAAAAAGAGTCTTTGTATTGGTCTTTAGGGACAGCAAAAAATGGGGCTCTGGGAAAATAATACGTCATTCGGCTATCACCTTGGATGCTGGTGGGGAAGGAGTAATGAAATAAGTATTTTGCAAGAAAAGAATAAACTGCTTTCAAGAAAGAAGTCTTTGCAAGAAGAACAGACTACTTGGGTGTGTGTGATGGGGTCTCTGGAATTATAAAGAAACACTGGGGACAAAAGAAAACACCTTGGTATCTCACCAGCCGGGGTTATAGGGCCCTGGTCTCCGAGTGACCCTGTGCTGTGTGAGAGCGCTGGGAGCAGTGTCCCTTGGTTCTCTGGGAATGAGGCCATAGGCTCCTGGTGACACCGTGTGTCCCTGAGTCGTCCGTAAGAACGCAGGGACTGCAGCCAGCCCGAGGGCTGTGGAGGGAGAGCCTGCACTGGGATGCAGGCAAAATGCACTCAGCGCCAAGGGCGTGCCTTGAACGCCACCAGCAGAAACCCTGTGCCGGGCCAGGTGCGCTTCGTGGCCGGCGCTCTCCTCACCGCCCGGCCCACTCCCGTCCCAAGCCCGCCCACACCCCAGTCACTGCCTTAAGTCGGCCCTCGGCTCCCCACTTCTCCGCGGGCACGGAGAGCTCGGGTCCCCACCCGCTTCCAGCTCGGGAGGCCCGGGCGCGGGGCGCTCCCACTGCGCGTGCGCCCTCCGGCTGCAAGCCCCCCGCGCCCCTCCCCCCGCGGCCGGACTTGGTACAGCCGGGACGGCGGTTGGCGTCCTCCGCGGCTCCAGCGAGCGGCGGGCTTTTCAAATCTTACCTTTGGAGGAGTGGCGGCGGCCTTGGCTGTGGCGCTGGAGATGGAGGGGCAGACCGTGAGGGGTCCCGAGCTCCGCCTGGCGGGGCTTCCCGCCCAGCAGGTGAGTGAGGAAGGGCCCGGCTTCGAGTCCTCAAGCCACCGTTGTGCCTCGTCGTCGAGAAACCCCCACCCCGCGTCTCCTATTCAGCCGTGGCCAGAAACAAAGGGAAGGACTAGGAGGCCGCACTTTTGAGGCTCCAAGGGAGCTTAGAAATCTCCTCATCCCCCACGGCCCCCGATTTCTTATGGAGGAGACAGACCCGAATCGGGAAGCGATGCCAGAGTTCCGCCGAGCGTTTCCGGGCGCACCTGCCCGCTGCTTCCCTCCACCCTCCAGGGTTTGGACCCCCCAGTGTAGGCGATGCCGGGGGAAGGGAGGCCCCGGGATTTCCGAGAAGTCCACTCGAGGCCAGGAGAGGACAGTTTGCTTATTACTCGATTTGACGGAAACACAAGTACTGGAGCGCTGTCTACGCACGACAGAAACTTGAGGGTACAGGGTGGAGGAGCAAACTGCAACCTTGGAACTTTAGAAAAAGTTGGTTTGATAGTGGATTCTTTTTGAATTGGATAAGAAAGAAGCTTGATAGTTTGCTATTTCGCCATGTAAAATGTGTGTTAGAAACCTTTTTTACTTAATAGAGACCAACATTTTTTCGTAGGGAAATCAGTTATTAAAATGTTATATTTTCCCCTTAACCATAATTTTAAAGTCTTAAAACTGATGTCTTTAAGCTGGATCTTCACTTCTGTTTTAATCTCCACCTTCTTTTACCTACTTCTGAGATAGATTAAACCATATGAAAATACCAGTTTTGTAGGTCAAAATTGGTAGACTAGTGGCAATTTTATATGGTCCAACCTATTATCTTTGCTTAGAAACCTGGCAAAGCCTTTCCTTAGAAACTTATTCTTTGTTAGAAGTCTCAGTAGATGCAACATTGTTAGTAAATCTTCAATAACACTGAGAAAAATAAGTAAGACATTAAGAATCATTATGCAGAAAAGTCCAACTCCTTTATTAGAAATGCTGTTTTATGCGAGTATTTTCAAAAATTTCAAGCATTTTAATGTAAAATACTTCTTTTTCTGTCCTATCCGTTATGTACTTTGGCTGTCCCAATTGTTCTGTTTTGTTTTGTTTTGTTTTTTTTAAAGATTTTATTTATTTATTTGAGAGAGAGAGAATGAGAGAGAGCACATGAGAGGGGGGAGGGTCAGAGAGAGAAGCAGACTCCCTGCCGAGCAGGGAGCCCGATGCGGGACTCGATCCAGGGACTCCAGGATCATGACCTGAGCCGAAGGCAGTCGCTTAACCAACTGAGCCACCCAGGCGCCCTTGTTTTGTTTTTTTAAGATTTTATTTATTTGACAGAGAGAGAAAGAGAGAGCGAGAGAGGGAACACAAGCAGGGGGAATGGGAGAGGGAGAAGCAGATTTTCTGCTGAAAAAGGGAGCCTGATATGGGGCTCCAGTTCCAGGAGCCGAAGGCAGATGCTTAAGGACTCAGCCACCCAGGCGCCCTGGCTGTCCCGATTGTTAACAGAATCTTGATTTCTAGTGAATTGGCAATCTGTTGAGGTTCTTGTGTGTATTACATAGGTGTTTGTATAGTTGTTCAAGTATATTTATTTTGTTGTGTTCAGCAATAATATTTAGGAATTATACAAAAGAGAGACGAGGGTAAGGTCATGAAAGAAGTTTAGCTACATGGAATGAAAATAAATGTTTAAAAATACACAAGGCTGGATTATTTTCATGTGAAAAGGTACAGTATTTAGTGATTTCTTAGGCAGTAAGAAAAGCAAATAATCGAGTTGTGGAATTCCTTCTGTTCGGATCTTGGATAAAAACTGCAGAATAGTAATAGGTTTTAACCTATTACTGAGGGTCAGTAAGAGAATTTTATACATGACTAACTGAATTTTTATTTGCTGTTTTTCCTTTGATATTAATGAACCTGCCATCTAATAAGGATAGGACCAAAAATTATTGGGTGGTCGTAACACTATGAAACACCTCTGCTCAAACCTTGGAGTCATCTATGAGTACACACAGCATAGAGTATTGGCTTTAGAGTCAGATTAAGGTCAAAGTAATGCTATTGATGCCAGCAGGCCGGGTCAGAAGACCCAGTTGTTGGGCGCCTGGGTGGCTCAGTTGGTTAAGCGACTGCCTTCGGCTCAGGTCATGATCCTGGAGTCCCGGGATCAAGTCCCGCATCGGGCTCCCTGCAGAGCAGGGAGTCTGCTTCTCCCTCTGACCTTCCTCCTTCTCATGCTCTCTGTCTCTCATTCTCTCTCTCTCAAATAAATAAATAAAAATCTTTAAAAAAAAGAAGACCCAGTTGTTGTGTGTGGGCGGGGGTGTCTCGCAAGACCAGCCCAGAGGGTCCTTAGCTTCCTGCAGGATGGAACTCTCACATGAGCCCACGGAGGTGAAAAAGTTCATTGAAGATATAGAGAGAGCAGATACAGACAAATGCCCAGGAAACTCAGAAAGACAAGGAGCATGAGTCTTGTCCTAGTTTGGGGTCTGGGGGTTTTTATTGAGGATGATGGTCTGGTGTATGTGTCCTCTCAGGCATCCAAGAACTGGTTAGAACAAAGAGGAGGACCCAAGTGTTATTGCTTGGAGCCGGGGTTGGGGCGGGGGGTGTCTTCGTGTCTAGATGTCTAGCGCTGGTGGTCTGGAATACACATATATATCCCTCCAGTCATTCTCATCTGGGTCTTCCTTAGATGTTATCTGTTCTAGAGAAATCATGAACTCCTTGTCCCTTGCAAGGAGGAAATACTCTTTGCATTGCAAGGCATATGTAAAGTGGGGTGTGGGTGCAAGTCCTAGCAAGAAGAGAAGCAGGAAAAGGAGCAAAAAGGAGATTTTTTATGGAGTTCTTGTTTCCCTGTCTCATTATCTCATTTCAGCAAAGTAAACGTATACAGAAACATGAATTTAAGAATTCTTTCTCTAATGCCATTCCCCAGAATGACCACTATTGACGATTTCCAGACTTTTTCTGTACATAAACAATACTTAAAATAACACGCAATTTCTTTTAGAAGAAGGATGTATGCTATATATCCTCTTTTGCAGTCTTTTTCATCATGGTCACTTAGCAAACATGGTTTAACTATATCCATTGTGTGGGTGATAGTTTCTATCTGGATTACTACAGTTGTCTTACTAGCAGCCCAACTTCATTTTTTTTTTTAAAGTCCGTGCTTAATTTCAAAACTAAGGCCATTTTCTTTGCGCTTCCTTTGTCCCTTTCTAGCTCTTCAAACCCAGTATCTTTCCGTTTTCTACATAATTTACAATTGCACTTTTAAGTCCTTTCCCTATTTCATTTTTAGCCTTGCCCTGTATATTTTTATTAGCCTGACTTTAGATACCTACATGATCAGGACAGTGTCATAAGCTTCATTTGACTTGATTACAAGGAACCTCTTATTTAGAAAATTGAAGAAGAAATGGCAAGAGGGGGGTTTTCCCCCCATTCTTTGCTTTCTGGAGACTTGCTTTCAGACACTTCTAAGAGGGATGGGTATATGCTTTTGTCTGGGGTCCTACTCAGTCTCAACTCTGCCATTATGATTGAGGCAGCGGCGTAGGGATTTTAACTTCCTCCTGTTCCACTTTGAGGTTGAGTAAACATCATCCTTGAGCACTCAGTCTGTGCTCTCATTACAGGATCATTGTTCTCACTGTGGATAGCACATCAACTCTTACCGCAGGAGCACTTTGCACCCCTTACTAACTAAAATTAACTTCTTTGACTCCATAAAGACTTTCTTGGCTGGAGTAATAGCACTTGACTAGAGAGGTTTTTCTCTGTGTGTGAAGTATAGATGTGTACTAAAGTTGCATGGGGAACACAAAACTAGCTAACACCACAGCTCTCTCTCTCTCTTTTTTTTTACACCGCAGTACATGCGAAAGCATACATACCCTTAACAATTCATGCCACTCACGTCAGCCCTCCCAGATCCACATCTGCTCACTGTAGAATAGGAGAGGTAAGCTAGTTTACTATGAATGTTAATTTGGCTGGGTTAGGGATCAGCGAACTCTTTCTGTAAAAGAACAGGTAGGTAAATATTTTCAGCTTTGTGGGCCACGTGGTCTTATTTGAAATTACTCACCTCTGCCAATGTAGTTTGAAAGTAGCCTTAGATAATACAAATGGGTGTGACTGTGCCCCAGTACAAGTTTATTTACAAAAAGACAAGCATTGACTGGGCTATAGTTTGCTAATCCCTGCTCTAAAGGATAGAATTCTAATGTTAATATGTTAGATATATCTCATTATCATATATCCTTAATGAATATTTAACCTTACAAATAAGGGGATTTAAAAAAAGAAGCCCTAACTTTGCATTTCATTTCTGCACTATTTCCCAAGCCTCTATAGTTTTATAGTCTATCAATAAGTGATGAAGAGAAGATAATCTTCATTTATAAGAGGGAAACCTTAGAAGCCCAAACTGATTCTTTAATGTGTTTGTGGCCACCTGCTGGTTCCTTGAGGTTGTTGCAACTTTCCAGATTGCTATGGAATTTCAAGTACTACAGCAGTGGATCTCTACCCTGGCTGTACATTGAATCACCAGAGGAACTTAAAAAAAACAGCAGCAACAAAAACTCAGGCTCGGGGCGCCTGGGTGGCTCAGTCGGTTAAGCGTCTGCCTTCGGCTTAGGTCATGATCCCAGAGTCCTGGGATCGAGCCCCACATCGGGCTCCTGGCTCAGCGAGGAGCCTGCTTCTCCCTCTCCCTCTGCCTTTCTCCGTGCTCATGCTCTCTCTCTGTCTCTGTATCTCTGTGTCTCAAATGAATAAATAAAATCTTTAAAAAAACAAAACAAAAACAAAAACTCAGGCTCCACCTCCCGAGAGTCTGATTGTTTTGGGGTGAGTCTTAACTTAGGTACTTTTATAAGGCCCTTCCCCACATTCTAATGTGCAGCCAGCTTTAAGAACCGCTGCGCTGGTTGAACTGGCTGCCTCACAGTAACATTTAAAAAGCAAAATTGAATTTAATGGCAGCAGATGGTATTTGTTTATATTTGAGTTGTGGGGTAAAGCTATTCATCCTGGTTTCACGTTGTTCCCTGCATGCACTCTCCAATACTAACCAGTCTGCCAGAGCTTATTTCTATACACATATGGGTCCCATGGACAATTCTTATAATTAATTATTAATTACATTAAAGAAGAATTTACTTTGGGACTGACAAAGTCATAAAAAGATGAAACAGAATTGTTGAAATTCAGCCTTGTGTAAAGAAGGAAACCAGCAAACAACTACATTTATATAGTATACCAGTTTTGAGTTCTACTACTAAAGAAGGTTTTTTTGTGGTAATTACATGATGTAATTACAGAAAGTCATTAAACAGATCTGTTTTTCTGCTTATGAATAGTGCATTTGATTGATTTGGATAGTCAAGTTAAATCATCTACTGCAACTTCTCTTTTAGGGTTATTTTCATAGACTTGCCCTCCTAACTTTTAGGTTTTCCTTTTGAAAAGATTGTCTTTTTAATATCTGGAACTTCTGTTATTAGATTCCGTTTACATTTTTTGATACAGATTTTGATCTAATTAAAAGGTAAATTATAACATTCATTTTTTACCACAGAAGCCAGGATGGTCACTTTACTTTTAGAAATAGACATACTGGAGCATTATTATGTTTGTAGTATAGTAAAAAGTATCCAATGATTTTTAATTTTTTAAAAAGCCACTGTGAATAAAGCAATGCAGTTTATAGAATTTTAATGTTACATGTGTAACTTGTATATAGAACCAGGCCATTACAAGATCATTGTATGGAATAAAAGACTTTCAGTACTAAAGTGATTTAGTAGTTTCATGATGACTCTTAAAACATATCCAAGTAAACATATCCAAAGTAAACATATCCAAAAATGTATTCTGAATCTCTGTTCCATCTGATAGCTAAAGCTTCTGACATTTTCTGGGCACAGTGTTTTCATTCTTGCTTTTGAGATTTTATTTACATTGCTTACCACAGCCGCTAAACCTTAGTCCCTTTTCCAGCATCTTCTCCTTTAGAAAATTTTCCCTTGGTTAATCATCAACCACATCTTGCCATTCCACAATACAACTATATAATATATGCATGTGCTATATTGTTTACATTAGTTACTATATTATTGTATTAGTTTCCTGAGGTTGTCCTATAACAAATTACCAAAACTGGGTGACTTTAGACAGTAGAAGTTTATTCTCTCATTGTTCTGGGATCCAGAAGTATGAAATCAAGGTACCTACTGGCAGGCCCATATTCCTGCTAAGGGCTGTGGGAAGAAATCTTCCCTTGCCTTTTCCAGCTTCCGGTGGTTGCTTGGTGGTCCTTGGCTTGTAGACTCATTACTCCCATCTCTGTTTTAGTCTTTGCATGTAGTTCTCTCTGTGTGTGTCTCTTTCTTCATGTGCTTTCCTATAAGGACACCAGCCAATGGGTTTGGGCCCATACTACAGTATGACCTCATCTTAGCTAATTATATCTGCAAAACCCTATATTCGAATAAGATCACATTCTGCAGTTCTGGGAGGACAGGAATATTTGGGGGACATTATCCAACCTCGTGAAATTATGCTAAGAATATGTAATGTTTCTCACCCTTGTTTCTGTTCTGTTTCTCCACTAGATTGTAAAGACTTCCTAATAAAATAAGAAATTAAGGTTTGCAAAGAGCATTTTCAAATAGCTATATCTTTTGTGCTATTATACATTAAAACTTTGTTACTTTCTCAATATGTTATAACATTAAAATGATGTCTAGTACCTTTTCCATCTATTGGGGTAAAAATAAATGTTATAATTTTGAATTTTTGCTATCTTTTAAGAATATTTTCTCTCCTTTTTTTTAAGGATTGCAGCATTCAAGAAAAAATAGATTTAGAAATTCGAATGCGAGAAGGAATATGGAAGCTCCTTTCTCTGAGCACTCAGAAAGACCAGATCTTGCATGCAGTTAAGAATCTCATGGTATGCAATGCTCGAATAATGGCTTACACATCGGAGCTACAGAAATTAGAAGAACAGGTTGCAAATCAAACTGGAAGATGGTTAGTAGCATAGTTTTCTTATGGCTTTTAATGCACTCAAGTGTTTGAATAAGAACACAATATAATTTAATTTTAATGTCAATTATCAAGTCACAAAAGCTTTTAAAAAATAAATATACCAAAGTAGTCTCTGATATTATAAACATTTTGGCAGTAGAACTCAGAGTAAACTTAATATTATTAGCAGTTTTCACTAGGCAGTTTTGTTGTGTTCCAGATTATAAGATGGTTAAGAAGCAAGAATTGAGGGAATATTTTAAAAAGGACCAAGACTAGGGCCCCTGGGTGGCTTAGTCGGTTAAGCCTCTGACTCTTGATTTCAGTTCAGGTTAGGATCTCAAGGTTGTGAGAGTGAGCATCGTCTCGGGCTCCATACTCAGTGGGAGTCTGCTTGAGATTCTCTCCCTCTCGGTCTGCTCCTCTCCCCACAAGCTCACTCTCTTTCTCTCAAATGGTAAATAAATAAATCTTCAAAAAAAAAAAAAAAGGACCAAGACTGATAGTTGAGTATATAGAAATGTGAATTAAAAAAATTGCTTAAAAATGCTGATAAAGAGGTGCTAGCTGAGAGTAATGGAAACTTAAGTGTAGAAATTGAAATGCACACTCCTTTCATATGGTGAACATAAGTCCTAGAGAGGCAAGCAACTTACTCAAGGACATGTCACTGGCTAGTGACATGCTAACGAGAGGTTGCTTAGGATTTGCTGAGTACCTTCTGGTCCTTGTTCTCTCGGTTACTCTGTGCTGCCATTTTGGATCAGGTCTAGGATTTATTTGTAAATAAAATTTACATCCTATCCCATTTACAATGCCAAGTCTTTTTTTTTATTTCAACTTTTTATCATCAAAGTTTTCAAACATGCGCAAAAGAAGAGACTGTTGAGTAATTAACACCCATATATCCATCCTTAGGTTAAATAATTTTCAATATTTTGCTGTACTGATCCATCTATCCCCTTTTTTCTTTCTTAAATTTTTTTTTGACTTTTATTATTTTTTATTTTTATTTTATTTTATTTCTTTTGATGTAGTGTTCCATGATTCATTGTTTGCATGTAACACCCAGTGCTTCATAATGCCAAGTCTTCTCGAACCTAAGAATTGACTCAACTTTGTTGGTCTCTTTTCTAATATAAATGGTCTTAAATCACCCATTGTTGATCAGTCTTAAAGCTCTAGCACTAGTGAAGAATTTCTTTTTATATCTTAGTGGCCATTGTGCTGTTCACAGTACACCTCCACTAAATAGATACATAAGGGGGGGCGCCTGGGTGGCTCAGACGGTTAAGCGTCTGCCTTTGGCTCAAGTAATGATCTCAGGGTCCTGGGATCGAGCCCCGCATCGGGCTCCCTGTTCCAGCAGGGAGTCTGCTTCTCCCTCTCTCTCTGCTGTTCCCCCTGCTTGTGCTCTCTCTCTCTGTCAAAAATAAATAAAATCTTAAAAAAAATAAATAAATAAATAAATAAATAAATAGATACATAAGATAAAAACACAGGTTACAGAAAAAGATATTTGTAAAAATAAAATGTTGATGAGATTGTGTGTACGAAGTAACTAATATTTATTCGCTGTACTGCTTTTGGATAGCTATTTAATCTCTTTGGCCTCAGTTCCTTCATTACGGTTGGCAAGATAATATTTACATTTTTAAAACTAAGATTATATTGGGCGCCTGGGTGGCTCAGTTGGTTAAGCGACTGCCTTTGGCTCAGGTCATGATCCTGGAGTCCCAGGATCAAGTCCCGCATTGGGCTCCCTGCTCGGCAGGGAGCCTGCTTCTCCCTCTGACCCTCCCCCTCTCATGTGCTCTCTGTCTCTCTCATTCTCTCTGTCTCAAATAAATAAATAAAATCTTTAAAAAAAAAAAAATCTTTCTAAAACTAAGATTATATTAAAAACCTAATCTAATACTTTTTACATAATTGTTATTCAACAAATGTCAAATAATTTTCATTATTATTTATCCCTGACATTATAAAATGAAATTATTCTTGTGTCGTAATTTAGGAAAATATTTTTTCAGATGGACATACCTTGGTTTAAGTCAGTGCCTCTCAAACTGGGTCACATATATCACTGAGAGTACGTGATTATGTGTCAGGAGATACAAAAAGCCATGATAAATATGGCATATCTTCTTTATAACCATGAATTTTTAGGGTAAAACATGAGAAATTTGGAACTGTGGTATAATTTGAATTATTCTACGCACAAAGATATATGTTCTCCCCTCTCCATCCTTTTTAAGGACATTTTGTCAGGAGGGGGCTGTTTCAGTGGAAGAGTTTGAGAAGCACTGGTTAAGTACAGGGTGGGACTAAAACCTTGCTATTACATCATCTCTCCCAGTTACATGAAATACTCCTCTGGGAATCCTATCTGTTCTCCACATTTATGTTCTTTACATATTTTTAGTGAATTGTGACTTGACCGTTTTCCTAATTTGGTAGTATGACTTTTCTAAAGTTACTGATTTATAAAAATGTTAAATAAACTTAATCCTTATTGGATTGATAGAAAAAAGATAGGAAAAAATATTTGGGACTCTCAACTGGAAATGTGTATGATTTTCAGTTTCTTTAGGGATTATCTTCATTAGATGAAAATAGCTTTGCACTAACATATATTTGTTCATAATTCCTATAAGAAATTGTCTCCCTTAATTATAAAATTATTTCTTTAAAGAAATCTGAATATTCCCTATGAATTCTTTTGTTTACAATTGCATTTTGTCATGTGCAGATATGATCTGCACTGATCAAATGTAACTGGAAATTGTAATTTTTTTTTTTTAAAGATTTTATTTATTTATTTGACAGAGAGAGACAGTGAGAGAGGGAACACAAGCAGGGGGAGTGGCAGGCAGAGAGAGAAGCAGCATTTCAAGAAAGAAAAATAGCAAAATAAAAGCTCAGGGTGAAAGATGACCATGGATTATATAAGAGCAGTGATGAGCTGTGTTTTGTTGAGGCTCAAGATGAAGCCAAAAGTTGAAAAGCAAGGGGGAAGCAAGATTCAGGAAAGTTTAGAAGGCTAGCTGGCAAGTGAACAGTTGTTAACTGACAGATTTCCAGGTGCCAGATACTATGTTAAGGTGTGCACAAATATCACGTTATAAACTGAGAGAGGTATAAACCTCTATTAAAGACTTGGCAAATGGGACTTTGCAATATTAGATAACTGTTTCAAAGGACACACAGTGACTACGTGGCTAGGACGTGAACCCAGATGACCCAAAAGCCTGAGGACTCCTCACCCTGGAGGAAGTTAATGGGGGTTAACGGACAGCCTTCTAGGTGCCAGATAATTGTGCTAAGGTGTTTGCAAATGTCACATTATAAACTGAGAGATATAAACCTCTTCTTAAACTTCCCAGCATTCTTTTTGTCACCTTCATGCGTATTCTTAAGTTCTGACTTTTCTTGTCCTCTACGCTTGCTGTGTTAAATGTTGTCAAGTATTATTCCCTACTTTGTTCAGTTTTTTAGTCAACTTTTTATTATGGAATTTTCATATGTAAAAAAATAGTAAGAATAGTATGATAAAAATTTTAAGAATAATATATTCTCTACCTAGATGGACCAGTTAATAGTGTATAGGTTCATCTGCTCTCCCTTCTGTCTTTGTATTATATGTACACACATACACATGCACACACATACATTTTTCTTTTTTTGTATTGATCCATTTGAAAATAATTTGCAGACAACATGGCATGTACATCTCAATGGTTCTAAAAACAAGCATTCTGCTACATAGCCAAAATATGATTATCATATGTAAAATATTAACAATAATTCCATACTAATCATCTAATATTCAGTCTGAATTCACTTTCAGCTAGTTGTTAAAAGAAAATCCTTTATAGTTGTTTTTCCCAAACCAGAACTCAATCAAAGTTCATGTAGTACATTTGGTTATGACTCTTTATTTTCTTTTAATCATTTTATTTTTTATAAAGACTTCTTGCCATTAATGCTTTGCAGAGTCTACACTTTAAAAAAATATCCTTTAAAAATATCCTGCATTTTCTATTTATTTAATTAGCTCTTTATAGTATCATTGAAACTTTTCTCCTATTTTCTGTTTTTGCTGTATCTGGAATTTGGGTTTAAAGGCTTATTCATAAGACTCAGGTTAAATATTTTTTTGGCTAGAATCTTTTGAGGGGAGGTTGGGTAGGATCTGTGCTGTCGATGTGAATGTGATGGGATTCACCACTCTGTGTGCTGCAGTTTGATCCCTTGGTTTGGATGGCAGTTGCTTGATTTCTCCTTTGTAATATAATGGTTTTTCCTTTGCAATTCCTAAGTAATCTTTGGGACATTATATTGGGACTAGGAGAATATTCTGTTATCTAACTAGCTTTCACTTAGTGGTTATATACATGTATGATCCTCACCTACATTATTATAATGGGGTTTGCAAATAGTGATTATCTAACCCTATTATTTTTTCTACACTTTGTAGTTAATCTTCTTTAAGGAAGGGCATTGCTCTCCTTTCTCTCTCCATAGATTCATGGATTGTTATTCAGTGTGTTATCATTTATAGTCATTAGTCTTTGACAGATAAATTGTCTCAAATTTGTTTGATGGAAGTTCCTTCAGACTGACATTTTTATTCTTTTGACTTGCCTTTATTAGTCCTTAAGAACTTTCTTACTTTCTAGCACAAAAAGATGACCTAGGCTTGCCTTGTATTTTCTGTGCCTCACACCTAGAATCAGCCATTTATCTAATGGGTCCTGGTTCCCTTCACTGGCAAATGGTATTTTGAAATCAAGATCTGGGCACTGGGTGTGCCCATTGTTACTGGGGATCATTGATTTTAAACCTTTTTAGTAGGCATAGCTATGGGAGAGATTTTTTTAAAAATTGTGATTTTAAATTGATATTTGTAGGTTTTTGTTTTCTTGAATTATTTTATATTTATCTTTTTACTTATTCTGAAAACCTTAAGTCCTAGTAACAGTAATCTTTTTCCTTATTTGTTT